CGTTTAACTCTGTTTTTTTTTCTGTAGGTATCAATATAGGCTTTTGTTTCTAGTAATATCTGAGCTCTGGACTGGCTTTCTCTCTAACCTATTTGTAACTAGCAAAAATACATTCTGTGAGTAGACAACAAAGCACTTTTGTAAGTTACTCTGGATAAGAGTGTCTGCTAAATGCTGCAAATGTAAATGAGATAACTACATTCATGTGCTGAGCTAAATACCCCCAGCACTACCTCACAAATGTCTGTAACAACTATAAATAACCCAGTTAATCTGAGCTTAGTTTGGAATAAAGATGTTACGATTTGCACATTTATTGATAATGTTCAACATACGATTAGGTAACCTGAGGGACTGATTAAGTGAGGATTCTTGCAAGTCTCCATATAGCTGCTGATAAGTGCCATGAACAGGATTTAGGGCCACTGCAGCAAACTCTGGATGACAGGTGAGGCAGTGGATGAGCCCAACCTGGTCACATCTGTAAACAACCTGTTTGGTACGATACAGTCTCGCTGTTATATTTCTGTACTTGGAATCAAATAGGCAGCATGCTGAAAGCTAGGTTATGATGCTGGCAATGATAGAGAATGGCTAGCATAAGCTAACTAGCTTAGGCTTCAAAGGTTTGGTTAGCTTTTTTCTGCATTAACTTTTAACATACCTCGGCCACCACCCTACATCAAATATTCTCAACAAGTGAGAGATTTGTACAGTGCCCACAAGTGCACCTGTATAGAAGGAAATGGTGCCCTAATGGCCAAATATAACTATGTTTTTCATGGCTTGATGTCAAAATGAATGAAACTTAGACAGTGTTCAAACAAATCTACTTTACTTACTTGGAATTCAGCACATCTTCAGGATGCGGGTTTTGTTGAATATAGATCTTGCTGAGTTCTACCATTCGGACGCATCTCTCACTCGCTGTTAATCATTTTGTGGCACTATGTTAACTCTTCGGTGGCTTGAGTCAGTGGCTCATACTCGTAAGGCTGAAGAAACACCTTCCCTCATCGAAGATGGGGATGGTAGAGGAGGAAAATCTTCAACTTTGTAAGACCTCTCATTTGCAAAAGTGCTGTCTGATTTTTGATCTCCATATTTTCTGGTAGCTAATGTTATTTATAAAATCACAGCAGCCTGGCCCACCTGGTTTCCTCTCGCGGCACCACCTCCAAACCCATGGATCGCTGCAGTGCCCCTCCCATTTTTGAGCATTTCTCAAAGTTGAGCTAGGAGTGGAGTTAGCTGAAAATAGACGGGTGTAGTTACTCTTTAACTGGGATTTAAACATGTCACTGTTTGAGGAAGACATAATGAAGAGCGGGAGACTGTTCCCTGAGGAGCAGCCTTGGAAAAGGCACGGTCACGCTTTCCTTTTAAATGGGACTGTGGAATAGACAGGAGCAATTTTTCAGAAGCTCTTTGCATCCTGGGGTGGAAAAATGCTTAATTGTGATGCCAATTCCTGTAATGTCATAAAAACAAACAAAAGAACATTAAAATCCACTCTGAAATTTGCCGGTAACCAATGGAGAGAGATGAGAAAGGGGAGATATGGTCTTTCTTTTTGGTTCCAGTCACAATCCTGCTGCATTTTGCACAAGCTGCAAACAAGATACGGAACCCCCATATGAAAGGAGTTATGGTAGTCAAGGCGTGACAGCATGCATGACTGTCTCCTAATTACAGAATGGAAAATTGGCAGGGGACTATAGAGGGAAAATAAAACAGCCTTGGGGTACACCACTGGAGAGGGACAATGGTGAGGTGCAGTGGCACATAATTTTACAAAGAAGGTTCCATCCCTGAGGTAGGAGGCAGACCTAGGCAGTTCCCTGAGTACCAACCATGTGATTAAGTCCTGAGTCAACAGAAAAGAGTAGGTCACTACATTGCTTGAGGAGTGCTAACTTAGGAGTATGGTTTACCCTGAACCCAAACTAGAATCTTTCTAGAATGATGTGTTTATTTAGATAGAACAATTTCCTCCATAACCTTTGAAATGAATGGCAATTAAGATATGGGCCTAAAAATCTCTAGTACAGTAATGTCTAGATTGGGCTTTTTAAGCAATAGCTGCATCTCTGCACGCTTAAAACAGGATGGAACAATCAATTATTAACGGAACAAACAGCTATTAATTATACTCAGCATACCAGGTACACATTTTTGAGTAGCCAAAAGAGAAGACGAATCTGTATCCAATGAAGAGCGAAATATGAATTTTAAGCATCCAAGAGAGAAGGTGAAATGGTATCCAATGAAGAGTGAGATACAAATTTTTACTTGTTCAAAGAAGTTCATAGTGACAATTGTGAGAGGAATCATAAGTGTGCTGCTAGATATGAAATGTGATGACATTATCTTAGCACCCCCCCCACACACACCCCAAAAAAATCTAAAAATCTTCACAGAGTTCTGCAGATGCGAAAGTATGTTGAAACTATGGAATTTTTATGGTTGGTCACAGTCTGTGTCGTCACAGCCCTAATTCCCTTTTTGGCCACTTGCCTTCATTTCCTAAACCTTTTCTATGTCAGGGTTGTTGCTCTGGGCTTCGATCAGATCCCAGTCCTCCGCTGATAACTGCTTTTTTTGTACATGACCAAATACTCTGTTGATTGCTTTGCAGGCTTCCATACCAGAATCTTGTTTTGCATGAGGGGTTTTCTCTATGGAGAAAACTTGAAACAGCTCCTTTTTGTTGTGGCATTTTTCCTCTTCTGTCTAGACAAAGTCCTTTTTGCATAAGTAATGATTCTTTCAAGTCCGTCTACTTTCTGTGAAACTATAGCCCCAATAGCCCATATCACACACATCAGCATCCCCAGTAAACGTCTGGGTAAAAAGGGACAACAGTAGGAAGCTAATCCTACAAAACTCGTTATCTCTTGTACATGGATTGGCCATGCATGGACCGTTTCACTCTTTGAAGGACGAAGTCGCTCAATCTGCAGAGATGATGTGCCCCAGGTACTGCACTAAATCTGCAAACAATTAGCACAAGATTTCATTTTCAGACTCGCTCAGTTTCTGTAAAACTTTATCTAGGTGCTTATCAGAAGTCCCTACAAACACAATAATGTCATCAAGGTGTACCAGGCAACTAACCCATTTTAAGTACTTTCATCAAAGACTAATTCCATCAAATGCTGAAAAATACTTAGTAAGTTGCACAAACCATAGGGAAGAACACTGAAATGGAAATGGTCTTATATCTGTATTTTGGTTAGATTGGAACTTGCCAGCTGCTAGCCACGTCCAACAGTAAACCACTTGCCTGCAGCCATTATGCATCCTAGGTGGTTACTTCATTCAGCGGTTTATAGTTCACCACCGTTTTTTTGGTCCAACACCACTGGAGCTCCCTACGGGGTATGGCACCTCAAGATTATGTCCCTCTCCATTTCCCAAAAGGGTGTGGCGACTTCACCTTGAAGATGGACTGGGACATGACAGAGGCACATCTTGATATGGAGTGCAGAGCCTGTGTCTATCTGGTGGTGAAGCAAAGCAGTTTTGTCCAAATCATTAGCTTCTCTACATTCTTAAACTGTATTTCTGTAAGGCCCCTGTAATACAAGCCCAGTGGTTTAATTTATTTTGCCCTTGCCGTTCGCCAACCATACAGGCAGAGGAGGTACCATTTCCTACTGTTGTAGTAAACGGTTCAGCCCTTGTACATCATCTCATAAAGACTGAACCATTGTCATCATTTTCTGCTTCTGACACTTTCTACTCCACACCCTTTTAACGTCCCCATACTCGAGAATCACAGACCTGCCTCTCAAAGTCCCTAATGAGCTCTAACTGAGTTGCCAAATAAATTGCCTGTCCCAAATTAGATGGTTTTGCACGATGCAGCTGAATGCAATAATCTCAGTCCCCAGTGTCCATGACAAAATGATCTGGAGCTGAAATGTCCTAATGCCAGGATCAGACTACAAGAATTCAGGCCCAACTATAAGCATCAGAAACGATGAACAGATCTTATAGTGTAATATAATCAAAGAAGAGCAATGTGGAGTCTGGGACTCCCCATGAACCCCTTACGAAAAGTCTAGCATGTCAGAATTTTTTGTATTTTTCCGCCTAGTTTGATATCTCCCATGTTGTTCCTTGATGTTAACCAACAGGAGGACAGAGTGTGTACATATATAAACAAGCGAAGAAAAAGATGGATGCTGCTGTTGCAGCTGTCAGGTGGAACAATGAAATAGAGTACAAGTTCACTGAGCTGTGGCAACAATACCCCTGCCTTTCTGAAGTTTCCTTAAGGGAGTATCTTGACAGAGTCCAAAGAGATAAATGTAGGTGAGAAATAGCGTATACAGCATCTGTTTACATACAGCAGACCTGTTGGGTGACAGACAGCCCATACTGTCCTCTTTGTGACACCCAGGAACAGGTCCACAATTGTTTTTGCTTACTTTTCTTTTTCTTTTCAGAACACAAAACCACCAGCACCACACATGGCTCTTCTGTTTGACAGTTTCTTTACCTGTACCCACAATGACCTATGAACTCACTCAAGAACGTGAATGATGATTGGTCTGCATCAAGCTATTGTGTAGTCTGATCCCGGCATAAGTGCCCACATCAAGATTCAAATATTCCTTCTCAGTTTTTCCGCTCACTGCCTTTTCAAAATCATGCACTCAGTTGTTTATTTTGTCTATTCTGAATGTACAACAATAGATAATACATTATCTAACACATATACACACACAAACACTGTTTGTGCAATAAACAAAGGAATAAACTATCATATGGAGTAAAAGAACCTCTGTGTCCCCTATATAGCCAGCAAACTGGCCATCACTCTGGCTTAAAGCGAGCATGTGTCTGTTCTTTTACTCCCACCTGCTACAATATTTTTATTTTACTTGTATTTAATTAAAACTGTTCTTTCAGTAAACAGTTGATTTGTGTAAATTTGGTTATGCCAATCATTAGCAGCATGATCCTCCACAGTGTGTCTCTATACTTTTCAGATATCTCTCCTGCAGTGTCTCTGATGGTCAGTCCCAGCAGATCTCAACACTTTAGTGCTGACTCTCTCTCACTGAGCTGTGAGGGACAGAGTGACTCTATTGGATGGAGAGTGAGACGATACACACACAGTGAGAAGGTGTCAGATTGTTCATCAGGCTGGGGATCAGTTACAGGATCTACATGCAACATCCAGTTCCTTTACCCAACCCACACTGGAGTGTACTGGTGTGAGTCTGAATCTGGAGAGAGCAGCAATCCTGTCAACATCACAGTGCACAGTGAGTCCATAAAGGTCTTATAATTGAAAATGGAGCACATTTTAGTATCTTCTATCTTCACTCTCCACACAGGAACACAGATTAACTCCAGTACTCAATCTATCAGAGTTATAGAGGTCTCTGAGTTATGATCATTAACGTATCTCAACACTTTCTGTCATTCAGTACTGTCTTACACCAACTCTCCTTCTGGAGATCTACTTTCCTACAGAGTTTAGTTCCAATTTGCATCATAAATGTTGCGCCCCTAACAGTAACGCATCTGATCCAGCCAGGCGAAGACTTCTAAAGAAGTTCATTAGCTGGAGCAGGTGTGGCAGATAGTGGTTAGTACTAGACCTCACTAGAAGGTGGACCTCCAAGACCAGGGTTGGTGACCACTGTCTTACACTCTCCTGCAGGTGATGATGTAATTCTGGACAGTCCTGTTCATCCTGTGACTGAGGGAGATCCTCTGACTCTGCGCTGTTTATATCACCACACAAAGCCCTCAAACCTCACAGCTGAGTTCTATAAGAATGGATCACTCCTCCAGACTCAGACTACAGGAGAGATGACCATCCATACTGTCTCAAAGTCAGATGAAGGTCTCTACCACTGTAAACACCCAGAGAGAGGAGAGTCACCACAGAGCTGGATCTCAGTCAGAGGTTTGCTGAATTTAAAAGAAAGTATCTAAAAAACATTTTTATTTTATCATGAGAATGCATCCAACACTAATCTCTGTACTAGATAACAATGGTTGTATTGTGTTTGTGTGTATCAGGTCTGTCCAATTCAGGAGCTTCATTCTCAGTGTTCAGTCTGCTCAGTAGTTTAATGGCAGCGTCTCCGTATCTGCTGGTGTCCATCATACTGGCACTCAAATGCTACAAAGCTCGAGGTGAGAATCGATAGTCTTCCTGTGGGAGAAAGACAAACTTTCAGCTTCACTGAGACAGAGTTTTCTATTTTAGTCTGAAACATAATCAATTGCCTAAATCATAACAAAGGATCTTCTGAAATTATCTTTACTGTGTATTTCACAGCTAAACCTGAGGAAACTAACAGAACAGAAGCAGCAACAGAAGCTGAAGAATCTTGCTGAGTGTTGACCGTCAAGTAATTCTAATCGTGTGTACCTGGAAACCTCAGTTAGGGTTTACTCTATTGTGCAGGTCAGTTATGGAGGGTTTAAATAACAGCTCCACTCCAGCATTCAGCAGGTTCATTTAGGCTCTCTGTCAGGAACTGCAGTATGATAAATGAGGCATCTGTGGCGTTGTTTCAGCACTCAAGTGGTTATCAAACTCAAGTGATTATCAGAGTGTTTTGTTTACTTTTATGGAATACATTTCATTCTTGAAACATAAAGGTATTTAATCATTTTAATTTTGGAATACATTTTTTCATTTTTTGTATTTTTTATTTCTTTGTCTGTAACAAACATTGTACTGCATGAAAAAACATGCAGAATTTTTTGATGCAATATATTTTTTTGATAGATGTCATACCTGGTGAAAGGCCAAATTTTAATTATTTACATCAGTTTCTTATTTTTGTTATTATTTTCCATCTTATAGTGTTTTCTCTTATTGCTTAATTTCTGAAAGTATCCATTCTTCAAGCATAGTCTCTCTTTGTAAAAAGCTAAGCAATAACTGAAGTGTGATTCGGTTCTGTCTACTTGTGTGTTTAAAGCAAGAAAGTATAATTATATCTTACATTTCATTTATATATTTAGCAAAATGAGTTACATATGTTAGAGGAATGTAGCTTTAGTTCTGTCCAAGGTCTCTTATTGGTATAGCAGTTTTTTCAAATCTGAGATGGGTTTTTTTAGGGCTGATGGTGTTTTCCACTATGCAGTCTATGAATTTGATAATACCAATAAAGTTACAGTTCTCTTCCTGTTTCTCATTTGTGTCTCTGTGCTTCCATTCTTGTTACCATTTTTTAGAACCATTAGAAAATTTTAGCATTTATGCTCTCTAACACGGTGGCCACATTTGCCCAGTTCGGTTTTGTTGTATTGATTTGGAAAAATTGTCTTTGTCCATCATGCTCCTACCCCCAGATTTAAGGATTGCATCTACAAAGGTTAGAACTAATATTTATAATAAAAATAATTAGTAATGAATTAACAATAATCTGAGTACACTAAAGACATGTGTTCTGGTCTTACACTGGAGTTTATGTTTTAATATTTTATTTATATATTTTTTTAACCTGCAGAAGCCGTGAACTGTTTAACACTGCATTTTCATCATTCACATAATGTATATGCTGCTTAATATATATAAAAGGAGCTTAAAGCACAGGGGTCCTTATTCTTATGACCCCATGTACATTCATGTTTTCTTTACTCAACACACCTGATTCAGTCCACATGGAGCTTGATTACTTAGTTAATGGTTGAATCAGGTGTGTTTGATAAGACAAAGCACAAAAAAGTGTATAGTGTGTAGGCCACCAGGACTGGAATTGGGAACCTCTGTCATAGTATGAGGTTTAGGAAACTTTGTGTATGTTATTATTAACTAATGCAGCAGTTAATGTTACTTACAGGAGCAGTGTGTAAGATTCTGGGGGATCTAGTGTCCAAAACCATGTTTCCATTAGTGTATAACTATCTGTAACTACACATCATTATGTTGTTGTTAGTTTAGAACGAACCCTTCATATTGTGGCATCAATGTAGACGACGTGGGAAACATAGTGTTTCAAAAGAATGCTCTTTTATTAAACATAACAGCAGAGAGAACTGCTGCCAGCACTGGCTGAAATGGCAGGAAGCAGGTAGGTAACCTACAGCCACACATATCCCTTACATGGCAGACACAAACACTGCCCCAACCACCCCACAGCCCAGCATAGAATGACAGCCAACCTTACAACACACATAACGTCCACACAGTCACAACTGTTTACAAGATTTAAGTCTCTCTTATTGAGTGTCCAGTGTTCTCCCAGGGGGCTCTGCGCATCCAAGGCTGAACCAGCCAGCAGCGGGTCACTACAATATCTACATAGGAGAAGGCCCTCTTCCAACATGTAGCACCACCATGTTTCCACAGTAGCCCAGAATGGACAAACCAAACAATGCATTTTTTGCACTGGAGCAGCTGCCAGTGTTGGCTTATAAGTTTGTGTTGTAAAAAGTATGAGACCCTAAAATTTGACTAATGGAAGATTGTGCTTATTATTTAGCACAAGAACAAAGAGGGAAAGTACTCACTGTCAAAAAGCAATCGAATTAAATACATAAATAATCGGTACAGGCAACGGCAGAAAAACTGATGGCAACTGTAGGTTCTACTAGGTAGGATAATTTCCATACACACTTTTAAAAAAATAGATATTTAGCAAATTTGTCTTGGTCTTGTTTTCAGGCAAGAGCACCACAACATATTGTAAGTATAATATTTTACTTCTGCAAGATTAAATATTTGTGCTATCATGTATCACTGCAACTTGTCCGTTTCTTCATAGCTAACATCAGCTTGCTTGTATCTAATGTTAGCCAGTTGAAAGCATATATCTTTAGTTTGTTAACACAAGTAACACAAGTAACACAGGATTCTGCAGTATGCTGTACATGATTTTGGTATTTTCCACATTCGAAACACATGGAAATGCCCAAACTCATACAGGCTGTGATGATTGGTTGAACTATGGAATAGCTCCCTAGCAACCAAAATGCATTTTTATTAGTTACTTTTTTACATCTGTCTAGTCAGTATGGAGTATTACTATTCCAAACACCTGCAAACAAGCAATGGTATTTCGTATACCGTATCTTTTTTTTTTTACTAGTGATGACGTTTTTGCAGAACTTGGCCTCTATAGGTTATATAATAAAGCTGCATTTTGTCCTCAATGTAAAAAAGTATTTAATAAAGTTTATTCCTTTTAGCTAGTAAGAGAAGTGAACATGTCATGTATGCTCAAGCCACCTCAGTAAGCTATTTTCACCAAGAATGATTTATTGAATTGTGTTCAAGAGATGTTTTGGCATTAAGGTTATGTATCCTCCAGCATTTATTGCACTTGGATTATTTTGCTGTGATTGGAGAGGGAGGAGCTAGAAACCACACCAAGGGGGTGTGTGTGTATATGTGTGTGCAGGGAGTGAGAAATGTGAGGTGGGTAGAGAAGGCGCTGTTCAAGAAAAACTTTGCTCATGTATGGCATGGCTGTGGCTGACAACAGTTTGAAAATAAAGCGCCATGACTAGTACAAAAGCAGTGTATCTTATAGTGGTGAGCACTACATAATAATACAACCCCATTTCCAAAAAAGTTGGGACGCTGTGCAGAATGTAAATAAAAAATAGAATACAATGATATGCAAATCACGTAAACCATTTTTTAAAGAAAAGTACTACATAGGCAACATATCAAATGCTGAAACTGAGAAATTGTATTGTTTTTTGAAAAATTTATGCCAAATTTGAATTTGATGCCAAAAACAACCTCCAAAAAAGTTGGGATGGGGGCATGTTTACCACTGTGTTTCATCACCTCTTCTTTTAAGAATACTCTAAGCATTTGGTAACAGAGGAGACACTGATGTAGTTTTGAAAATAAAATGTTTTCTCATTCTTGTTTGATAAAGGATTTCAGCTGCTTAACAGTTCGGGGTCTCTTTGTCGTATCTTTCATTTCATAATGTGCCAAATGTTATCAGTGGTGACAGGCCTTTTTGGCACTGGGACTCTTTTAATATGGAGCATTGCTGTTGTAATAAACGCAGAATGTGGTTTGACATTGTCTCGCTGAAATAAGCATGGCCTTCCCTGAAAAAGACGTTGTCTGGGTGGCAGCATATGTTGCCAAAACATGTATATATCCTTCAGCATTAGTGGCGCCTTCACAGATTTGCACCATCATGAATACTGGCTTTTGAACTGTGCACCGATAACAAGCTGAGTGGTCTGGAGGACACAGTGTCCAAGATTTCCAAAAAGAATTTCAAATGTTGATTTGGTTTTTGGCCTTGTCCCTTGCATACAGAGATTTCTCCAGATTCTCTGAATCTTTTAATGATATTATGTATCATAGATGATCCACATGTTCTTTGCTATTTTATGTTGAAAAAACGTTATTCTTACATTGTTGCACTATTTGCCTGCTCACAGAGTGGTGAACCCCCTCCTCATCTTTACTTCTGAAAGACTGAGCCTCTCTGGGATACTCTTTTTATACCCAATCATGTTACTGACCTTTTGCCAGTTAACCACCATCTGTTGTTTTAGCATTACACTACTTTACCAGCCTTTTGTCGCCCCTATCCCAACTTTTTTGGAAAATTGTTGGCATTAAATTCAAAATGGACATATATTTTTCAAAAAACTAAATTTCTCATTTGCAACATTTGATATGTTGTCTTTGTGTTATTTTTAAATAAATATAGTGTTTAAATGATTAGTACATTATTGCATTTTGTTTTTATTTGTATTTTGCACAGCGTCCCAACTTTTTTGGAAATGGGGTTGTAGAATATCAATTATCAATAACAATTGTCAGTAAATGTGGATTAATGTAACCCTTTAAATGTTAAAATGTTATCCATAAACATTAATTTATTATCTATTATAACTAAATGGGACTTCAAAACTTTAAAAAACTATTTACAACATGAATTTAACTTACACTAACTAACAACATTAAGTTACTTAATGTGTGTACAAAATCAATTACTGATAAATATTTTTATTTTAAGTATTTTTACACAAGAGAGTAACACAAAAAAAAACACATTCAGCAAGCTCCGATAAACGGGCAATACTTCCCAAGAGACATGGCAAACTAAACAGTATAAATAGAGCAAAGAGCAGGTGTGACAAATCAGTATTCAGCTGAGTCACATGATCTCCAAGGGGATTCTGGGAGGTGGAGTCCAGTGGAGGATCAGTGTTCGGAGTACTCAGAACTACAGAGCTGGAGGGACGCGTGACAAACAGTTAAATGTATAATGAGACAAATGAATATATCAGGTGTTTCATACACAAAACGCATACCTGGACAATGTTTTAACTAAAGTATTATCCTGGTTAAAGCGAGTAACTCTTTGGTGAGGAACATTCACCAGCCTATAAATAATCTA